CGATCCTACATACACTGCAATTATATCGTTGCGGCTGAGACACATCCTTGAACGCTTTCATGTACGTGGGATCTTCTAACATAAGCACGCGGTCGGAAAAGGCTCACAATGCTAAGCTAATAAATATTCCGATGCAAGCAGAGAGAAACAGAAAGGAGTCACGAATAAACCACGAGGTGGCTCGAGCAGCACAGAAATTACGCTGTAAGCTATTTAATACGAAAATGTGTGCATGCAACACACGTGTGTATACGTGTGTACGAGATCGACGAGCAGTCGGTGGTTAAATCCACGGAGATCTAGGATCTCGGCTCGGTAACGCCGATTATCACGGGATAATGTTTGCTCCGCGCGAATTCACACGAGCGTGATTTTACGAAAGGTCACGTTAGAACTGATTTCCTTTTGTCGTCCAACGTGTTGCATAACGCGCTATTATTGCGCTGAGACCTGCTCCACTTCGTTGCGAAAGTACTTTCGTTGCACTTTGGTATTGTATCACGCTCTTACTTTGATAAATGAATAACGTAACTTGTTGTAATTTCGCGAAAGAGATTTCTCTGAGAATAGGCGAGAATTTCATTCCATTTTATTAAAGGCTCGTGAAACGTCTTCCACCTTCGCATGGCAATTGTGCGAATCTCAATCATCAGCGGATTTAGCGAATCGTCCCCTATACTTCCACCTGTTAACCACATTCCGCAGAATAAGACTATGCCTGAACATTTAGCATGCAACTATCGTCGACTTCCGGTACACGCGACTCTACCGAACGTAAACGTTTTCGTAGTTCATTGTTGCTACGTTGCTACAAAACGATTATTTCTGTGCGACGGAGCGTGATTATCGCGAAGAAATGAAAGACGCTCGTTTCTGGATTTTCTATTAGATCGTCGATTACGATGATCTCCGGAATTAATCTTTGCTCGCGCGAAAAAAAAAAGTACGAATTTATATATATATATTCGTTATTATTAAGACGCGAGTTGTGTTTCGATTTCTTTCCTTCCTAAAAACTTGGCACATGTGTTTGAAC